TTTTATTACTTTATAGCCACAATGTAATAGTTCCTGCCCTCAACTTGAATAAGCTTATATTTTTTTACTTTGAGGAAAGGGATTTATATTTTCCTTATGATTTCTCTTACTTCAGTGACGGCTGTTTGTTTCAAAAGCTGACGACGTGGTAACTTCAGTGTAAGCTGTGTAGCACCGTGGCTCTCCACTAGCCCTTGGAAGTTTCCATCAAGCCAAGGTTTCCTCTTGGCAGCAGTTGTCAGACTGAGCAAACGTAAATGTAGCAAATACAAATGTAAAATAGAACACTTTTAGAAAAAAACAGGAGAAAATCTTCAGGAACTGGGAGTAAGCAAGGAGTTTTTAGAGACTTGACACTAAAAGTCCGATCCTTAAAAGGAAAAATTGATAAATAGGATTTCATCAAAATCAAAAACTTTTGTTCTGTGAAAGACTCTGTTTAGAGGGTGAAAAGACAAAGCCACAGACTGGTATAAAATATGTGCAAACCACATATCCGACAAAGGACTGGTATCTGGAAAACAAAGAATTCTCAAAACTCAGCAGTGAAAAGACAAACAATGGAGCCCAGATTTGGTTTCAGTACCATTCTTCGATAAGAGGAACAGGGCTTCTTGGAGAAATAACTGACTCTAGGACTAGAATAGGAAACATACAAGATGAGCCTGGAGAATCTTGTAGCACCAGAAAGTAAGGCAGGGCTCAAAAAGAAAAACACCCACACTCAATGTCAAAAGGGACACAACTGAAAGAGATCCCAATGGCCCAAGCAAGACAATTTGAGCAACAACATAAATAAGATCATATTAGATCTGTTAGATCTAATAGAAAGCTCTACTAGATCCATACGAGCATAACACCAGGTGTAAAATAAGTGAGCCCAGACTGATATAAATGATTAATTAAACAAACAAACACATGGGAGAGAACAGACGAATCTCCCTTGCAGGGGAAATTCCAAATAATTTATGCAGATAAACACCCTCAAGGAGGTGGAGGATAAGTCCCCACTCCCTAAGGAGAAGCCGCATATAGTGACTTCCTTCCAAGAGTACAGTAGGAAAAAGGTCAAAGTAACTTTATGGTGGAGAAACCTGACAAACACTACCTCAGCCAGCTGATTAGGGTTAACATCAATAGTGTGTTATATTTATAGTATATACATTTGATATATGATGAGAAGGGCACTTACCTTCGTGGTCTTACTCCCCAAATCCCATAGCCCCAGTGTAATTATGAGAAAAAGATCAGACAAATTCCAGTTCAGGGGCGTTCTACAAAATATCTAACCAGTACCCCTCAAGACTGTCAAGGTCATCGAAAACAAGGAAAGTCTGAGAAACTGCCACAGCCAAAAGGCTCCTGAGGAGATATGATGACTAAATGTAATGTGGTATCCTGAATAGGATCCTAGAAGAGGAAAAGGATGTTAGGTAAAAACTAAGGAAATCTGAATAAAGTATGGACTTACTTAATAAGAATCTGTCAGTATCGGTCAACTGTAACAAATATACAGGACTATCAGGTGTTAATAACAGGGTGCAGGGTATATAGGAACTCTGTAGTATCACAATTTTTCTGTACTCCTATTCTAAAATAAGTTTATTAAAATAAATCTAGTTAGAAAATGGGCAAAAGACATGAACAGACATTCATGGAAGAGAATACACAGATAGCAAATAAGCACATGAAAAGATGTTCAACATCATTAACCATTAAGGAAATGCAATTAAACCACCGTGAGATATCACTATGCACCTATCAGAATGGCTAAAATAAAAAATAGTGACAATACCAAATACCGGCAAGGAGGCAGAGAAACTCATACACTGATGGTAGGAATGTAAAATGGTATAGCTACCCCTGAAAGTTAGGTAGTTTCCTAAAAAATTAAACATGCAACTCTCATGTGACCTAGAACTTCACTCCTGGCATTTATCCTAAAGAAATGAAAACTATATCCAAACAAAAATCTGTACATGAATGTACATAGCAGCTTTATTCATAATAGCCCAAAATTGGAAACAACCCAGGTGTCCTTCAACAGGTGAACAGTTAAACTGTGGTACATCCATATCATAGCCTACTACTTAGCTATAAAAAAGCACTATTGATACAGGAAATGACTTGTATGAATCTCAAGAGAATTATACTCTGTGGAAAAAAAGCCAATCTGGTTTGGTTACATACTATAAATGGTTACATACTGTACAATTCTCCTTAAATAACATTCTTGAAATGACAAAATTTAGAAATGGAGAACAGATTAGTAGTTGCCAGGGGTTTAGTACGGTGGGAAAGGAGAAGCAGGCGTGCCTATGAAAAGTCAACAGGAGGAGAAACTGTGGTGATGGAATCGTTCTGTATCTTAACTGTAGCAAGGTCAATATCCTGGTTGTGACATTGCAATAAAGTTTTGCAAGATATTACCAGTGAGGGTAATAGGGTACATGAAAGCTCTGCTTTATTTCTTAAATCTGCATGTGAATTTACAATTATATCAAAATAAAAACTTCAATTTAAAAGATACAGTACTGCCAGTTAAATTTCAATTTCAGAAAGACAATCATTTTTAGTATCAGTGTGTCCCATGCAATATTTGGAACATACTTATACTAAAAGATGAGTAGTTGTTTATCTGAAATTGAAATGTAACTGTAGTCTTGTATTTTTTCTGGCAATACTACTCTCAGCATTAGCTTACCAAGATAAAGTATATGTTGCAAATAAAAGAACATTTAAGGGTTGGCTGAGAGAAAATGTGCCCTGCCCCAGAAACCCCTAAATCCTCACTCTCAGCAGCTGGCACCTCCTCTGCCTCACATTTTATTACAACATATGTGCCCACTACTCGTGGTGAGAAAAGACACATAAAATATAAAACCCTCCTGTTCTCACACAGGAGTGAAAAATTATCCAGATAATCTCCCCTTCCAATTTTAGATTTAAAATAGCTATCCTCCTCCAAGAAAGATTATGAAAAAATAAACAGAATAGTCAGGAAAAATTTTCTAGAAACAATTCTGGGTCTCCAACATAATAACACTGTAAAAAACACACCAAGAACTAAAAGGCATCTGAGAAATCTCTAACGTGATGGAGATCAAAAAAGAAATGAAAAAGCTACTTTGGAGAAAATCCATTATTCAAGAAGAAAAAGCATGAAGAAATTATCATTAATATCCTCAGAGATATAAGATGCCCCGACCACAAACAAAACAGAATCCCATAAAGGAACACAGAGAATAAAAAACATTCTTAGAAATTAAAAAAGATGATAGAAGAAATATAAAACTCAATGAAGAGCTACAGATTAAAGGTGAGTTAATCCCCCACAAAGTACAGCAAAAAGGCAAAAAATGAAACAGAGAAAAGTAAATCAAAGAACCAGTCTAAGAGGTCTATAACAGAAATAGCAGGAATTCTAGGAAGAGTTAACAGAGATTAGGAGTTAACAGGTTGAGAAGGAAAATTAACACACAAAAAAATCCAGAAAATTGCACAGGACTTAAGGGCATGAGTTTCCAGTAGGAAATGTGCCCAGCAAAATGGACAAAAACAGACCCATACTAAAGCTATACTGCTGGGAAACTTCAGAACAGAGGGGATAGAAAGATCTTATAAGCTTCCAGAGAGAAAAATCGTGTTTTATACAAAGGATCATGAAAACACATTTTCAAATATGCAAGATGTAAAAAAATTATTTACCATGCACCCAGGAAGCTACTAGAGAACAGACTCTACCGAAATGAGGGAAGAGACTAAGCAAGGGAAGACAGGTACAGAAAACAGGAAACCAACAGGAGAGGCAAAGAGAATCCCCAGGATGAGTTGAAGATCCCAGAATAACAGCATGCGCCGGGAACATACCAGTTCTCCAGTCAGAAACCTCCAGGATAGACTTCTTCAGGAGTTTGAAATGGATAAAATATGTGTCTGGGCATCTTAAGAGATTTAGACAAATGCTAGAGGGTTTGAGGTCAAATTAGTCATAAGTACATAAGCAGACAAAATAAATAAGACACGATTAAGTCCAGGGAAAAAAGGAATTGTTCAGGAAAGGGAAAAGTAATCATAGTTTACTGCATTCTGATTAGCTTTACATAGTTATAATAATGTACAACAAAATTACCATATAACTAGATTGAGAAATTGAGGCAATGAGGACTGAGATGTGAGTATGGTAGCAACAGAAGAGAGAAACCTAAGCCTTCATCCTCTATAGTAGAAAATCAATAGGAATGACCTAAAATTGATAAATCAAGAAGAAATAATACAATTGTTTTATTTAAAAATACGTAGGGGCTGGCCCCGTGGCCGAGCGGTTAAGTTCACGCGCTCTGCTGCAGGTGGCCCAGTGTTTCGTTGGTTCGAATCCTGGGCGCGGACATGGCACTGCTCATCAAGCCACGCTGAGGCAGTGTCCCACATGCCACAACTAGAAGGGCCCACAACGAAGAATATACAGCTATATACCAGGGGGCTTTGGGGAGAAAAAGGAAAAAAGTAAAATCTTTAAAAATATGTAGATAACTTTTTTAAAAACTTAATAGAAAGTGGTTGCTTTTATAGAAGGAAAAATGGGAGTGGGAGGAGAATGCTCCTTTTCATAAAATTAAATCTTTAAACTCATAAGTTCCACAGAATTATTTGACTCTTTAAACTCATGACTTTTTTAAAAAGAAAAAGATGAAAAAGAAAAACTCCACTCATCAACTATCTATCCCCAAAAAACCATTTTTTAAAATGCCAATTTAATTTATATTCTTCAACTTTTTTAAAAAACCTGCCTACCTTTAACAGTACTACATTAACCAACTGAAGAACTATTTTCAAAATCCTATTTTTGAAAGCATTTAAAAGAATTCCAAACCAACAATGTAGAGACAAGCATAAAGCATAGGTCTTCCCCTAGATACTTCATTAGAGCTTATTTGCCTAAATATTTATATCAGTGGTTATATTTGGAACAAAAGTGGCTTATTGTAAAGAAGACATAGTTGTGTTTAACATGCCAGGTCTGGGTAACTTTATTCAAGATTTTGACAAAAACTATCCCCAAAGTAATATAAATTTAGACACTTTAAAAAAGTCCAGATGTGAAATTTCAAGAAAATTTTGAATTCAGTCTAAGGTCAATACTAAGTCAAAAACTGAACCAAATCCACGAATCCTAAATACTATTTTCCTTTTTAAGTTCATTATTGTTTCTGAAACAGGTCACCAACTTAATTTTCCTTTCTCTGATATTGGTATTTGAATCATTTTAACATGGTTTACATTTTTAAGTTCTAAGTTTGTACTTATCCTGAATATCTTATTATAATTAAAAATATAAATCCAGAAGTGATAACCTTTCCTTACAGAAGAATTCCAATTAATAAATGTAGACAGAATTAGAGCAATAGAAAATCACCATTAGCACACCACAGTAGTAACAGACACAAGCAAAATCTGCCAACAGACACAAAAATGAGTGGGCAAAAGTTAAAGCAGAAACAGGACATTTGCATAGTCTCAAAGTATCTCCAGCAAATATTTAGTCATTACAAAGGAAACATAGTAAGTTTACAGTAGAGAATCCTAGCAGACACCACCTTAGGTAGTGGTTAAGGTTAACAATACCAGAAATACATTACAACATCAAGTGTCGTGATACACTGTCACAGGCTGGGAAAAACTAGAGACGACAGCTAAATGCAACGCAGGATCCTGGATTGGATCCTGGAACAGTAAAAGGACATTAGTGAAAAGACTAAGAAAATCTCTATTTGTTAAACTCTACTTTAGCTAACAGTATTGTATCAAGGCTATTTTCTTAATTTGACAAATGGTCTATGGTTATGTAAGATGTTAACTAAGGGGAAGTTGAGTGAAGAGTATACAGAAACTACTATTTTTACAACTCTTCAGGTCTAAAATTATCTCAAAATTTAAAAAAATAACTTTAAAAAACATACACACACACATATGTATATATGTGCATGATGTGTATATATATATCTCAAGTCTTCATGGAAACTGGTATCTTGGGCACTCAGTTAAATAGTAGTGTTCTCTCCTGAATTAGTCATTGTCTCACTGGTTTACATTAACTTAGCTGTAAGGTTTTTCCTCTTGTAAATTTTTAGTTTCAAGTACAATTTTCTAATTTTCATAGAAAAGTCTTTTTTAACATTCCTATATTCAGCCAAAAATAAAAATCCTAGAATAAAAGTATCACCATATTATCTCATAAAATACTCACCCCAACCGTAAGACCCAGCCAATATTTTTACTCCATTTCTTCTCATCATATAATATATTTGAATTGTTTTTGTTTTGTTTATGAGAAGAAGAGAAGGCTGATAGATTTATTATCACTAATAGGCCTGGCAGTCTAGAAAAAAAAATCATCACTTGGATATCTTATTAAGAAACAGCTGTTTTCCCAATAACAGATACTGTATACTAGAACTCACTTCAGATGTAAAAAAGTAAGTTTTTAACCTAAATCTCTTCTATACGATAGCATAGAGCTACCCAAGCAAGTGCAGCTAAGACCCCTTCAAATACCCCTTCCTTAAATTTGGCTCTAAAATGACTGTTACTAATGGTAATAGAATCTTTTTTATAAAACAAGTAATATTGTCTATGCAATTTAGGGAAATAAACATCAAATCTACCTTTAAAAGAAGAAAATAATTTCCCACTCTAGCTATGGCTGATTCATTCCCTGAGCATGATTCCTCTTTTACCCTCATTGTTTTTGACTATAAACTGAGCTGAAATCTGCTCATAGGGATCTTGATGATGAAACTAATATTTTAGATGGAGAACAGTCTTTCCAAATAGTCATATTACTTCTGCAGTTACTATTTCTACTCACCGTGGCATTTAATTTTTCATCTGTGTCTATCATAATGCCCCTAATGGAAGCAGCAGTAGTGAAAAGATAAATAAGAGGGAAAAAAATTTTTTTAAGTGGATCTTTATCCAAATACAATAAAAAAGCAAAAAAGAAAAATGGCTACAAACATTTTCACTCCTATGCCCATGCCATTTCCAAATTCACCTTTCACTATTAACATGAAAAGTAGAAGTGGTAAAACTCTAACCAGTGATCTATACAAAAAAGGAGACAGTTTACCTCAGGAACTCACCATACATTGCAATATATTCAAGTGGTGAAAAGATAAAAATTCATTCAGGATTGCCATACTATCTGGCTGTCAATACAGTCTCTTGAATTAAACATATTACTACAAAATGTACCAACAAGTAGAGAATAATACTATATTTGTGAACTGCAAATAACAAAACAAAACAGAGGTCCAAGAAGGCTAAAGTCCAAGCTGTAATTTACACATGAAGTGTATGTTGAAAGCAGTCACAATGTACAAAAATGTGACAAGTAATCCAGACGTTTAAAAGAACAGAGCCTGTTTGTCTCAGACTATATCCAGCCTCATCTGGTAGGTTTCTGTTAAGCCTGTTACATAACGTGTATTTCCTTCCTGCTGATAAGAAGCAGCTTGCAGATATCCATAAACTTCTTAAGGAGTGAATCTACTTGGCAATATTGATAACTCCACAGTTCCCTATTACATTCATTGGTCTAAAAACTGAAAACAATTCATAACTAAAATGTTCTTCCAAGTCCTTTACCAGTTTTTCAAGTTTTACTTCAAAGAAAGTTGGAATGTATTGCTTCTTGTCATCAACAGGCATTTCAAAAAGAGGGTAATTAACCAAAATCAAGAGTTCTTTGGTCAAGTTAGTAACAGGCTTCCCCTTTGTTCTAAATCCTTTCATAATCCTTTTTTTTCTAGTTTTTCCAGTATGGCCTGAATTTTACAAACAGCCTCTTTCCGGGCCTGCCGAACAGAGTCTTGGCCCCCAGTTTCAACTGAATCCAGTTCCAAAAGTTCCTTGGTTAGCATTTCTTCCAGAAGCCAGTATGCTTTGTCTGTCTTTTTCCCTACAAATTCTTCTACTTCTTGCTCAAGATATTGGACCTTCTCCAGCACATGTATGATTTTTTTAATACTTGGGGGGGTACCTTCATCTGAAGATGAACACTCTTCTGGAAGATTATTACTTTGATCTTGATTGCTGGGATGTTCGTTGGTGGCATTACCATACAGCTGGGGCTCAGCACTGTATTGGACTTGGGCATCCAAAAGGTCTGAATTATCATTGTTCACAGTTCCCGAGGACTCGTACTGATGGACAGTGCAAGGAAAGCTGTGCCGGCTCATGCCTTGATCTGATTGGCTGTTGGGATATGAGGAATCCTTGGAGTGGGAGAGCAAAGAGGGGAAAAAAGGTGTTTTAATGGGAATCCATCAACATCAGATTTGTTAGCCCACATCTTTCACCTGACCGGGAAGGTACATGAAAAGCTTCCCCACCACTAAAACTGGACCTCGCTCCTTAATCATTTGAGAAAAACAGCCCTAAAAAGATAAAAGGGAATGCACTGTCAAGCAAAAGGCAGAGAATTCCGGAGAATAATGGCTGGAATCCACCCGGAGGCACGTCATCATCAGGAACACCTCATAATCTAACCCTTACCACCTCACAATCCACTCAGTGACTTAATAAATAGGAATTAGAGAGTTTTTCCCCTAAAGAGTTAAAACCTTAAGACAGATCTTGAAAAGGAACCTAGCCAAAAGCAAATGATGTTCAAGTCTATGGTTTGATTAAGCCATACAATTTCACATTAGTTTTGTCTTGTCTATAGACTGAGGTAAAATACAATCTTTGATGGTGTTTAACATTCAGAGTATTACGACAAACAGTAAATGAACATTTTCCTGTCTTTTAAAAAAAGGATGTGAACCTAAAACTGCTCTAAAAATGAAGTCTATTTAAAAAAAAATAAAAAAGGAAACTTGGCTAGGTAAAACTATAGGTAACAGTCACCACTTTTTGTATTACTCCCCATTTAACAGAGACCAGTGCAGAAAAGTTCTGTGTTGTGCTCTCTTAATTACCCAAGCATCAAAAGAACAATGTTTAGAAGGTCTCCTACCTTGGGCTGCTGGGGCGGTGGTGATGGAGGTGGCTGAGGAGAGCCACTGCTGGGCCATGGCGAAGTACTTTCATTCATGTACAGATTCCCAGGAGGTGCCGAGGGCGCAGCTGAAGGCCAGGGGTAACGGGTTCCCATTCCATAAGCACCAGGAGACACCCATGAATCCTCTTGTGGTCGTACAGTTGGTCCTGGCTGTGGAACACTACGATTACCATCCCCATAAGGATAATGGGGCAGGGTCATTCCAGGGTTCTAGATTGAGAGGGAGGAAATATGGTGGTCATTGCTAGAAAAAAAAACTTACAGAAGTAATGAAAATATTCTAATATAAACAGATTCTGAGATGCTTCCTCTCTGCTTAACAGAGTATACTTTAGCTGCTACTGGGCTAAACTGTAGCAGCTCTAATCAGTTGCAATAATTTCTCCAAGCCTAAAAAAGCTTGGTTCCAAAGATACCAGGGGCAAATTTGGTGACACTCAAACTCAGAAGGTATAGGGCCTAAAATTCAGTGGCTGAAGCATAGCATAGGTCTGCCCCATAGATACTATAAAATAAGTGGACCCATATGCTATAAGGAAGCATAAATAAAGACATATTAGAACTCCCCTTGAGTGAACAGAGAAATAAACATGGTATCATTCAGAGAATATTAAAAAATATAAACTAACCTCTTGAAGTGAAGAGAGAGATAAACATGGTATCATTCATAAAATATTAATATAAACCTAACCTCTTGAAGTGAACAGAGAGATAAACATAGTATCACTCATAGAATATTAAAAAATATAAACCCAAAAGAAAAATGCTCACCTGTGCAGCAGGATATCCTGGAACCTGCCCCCTAAGAGGGGGTGCTTCAGTCTGGCAGTCCTGCTGGGGATACATCCAACGAGAGACTGGGGTTGGGCTGTTGCCAGGTGAACAGTAAGTGCTTGGAACCTCTGTGGAGTAATTGGTCTGAGTATATCCAGGTGTGTAATAAGCCCCAGAGTATGAGGCAGTATTTGCCCCAGGGCCAGTCGGGTATGGTGGGCCATATGCTCCATTTGTGTAAGACTTCAAACTCTGTTAAGAGCAAAGTTGAGAGAAAAAGACGAATGAGTAGAAGAGCTGAAATGCCCTGACTTAATACCCAACTTTGAAAACCTTGGGAAGAAAAGAAATCAACAATTAATGAAAACGTGAACTACTTAAGCAATCTTTGAAGCATTCATTCTCTCATATGTTATAATCATATATCATGTACTAAACTCAGATTATCACTTTAGAGTCTGTGTCATAACAATGGGAGAGTATACTTTGATGAATGATGAAGTTATTTATGGCCTCAGAACAGTGCTTCAATAAGCATGCCTAACAGCAGAGAACTTGTACCCACCAACTGGGAGGAGATTCTGGGAAAATGGCCAGAGAAAGAAGAAAATAACCATGATACAACAGAAAGAAAAAAAAAGACTACAGAGACAGACCTAGCTCTGCCATAGGCTTTGTATTTAACCTCTCTGAGCTTTAGTTTCTCCACGAGGAAAATGAAGATCATAACTGATCTTGCAGGGTCATTGGGAAAATTAAATGAGATGACATATATTAAATGCTTAGGATGGTGTCTGACACATAGTATGCCCAATAAACAGTAATTACTTATAACATCATTGTTGTTAGTAGTATTATGGCAAGGTCAAGAAATGAACCCAAATCTGACTCCAAAGCCCGTGTTCTTTGTACTATCGCACTCTGCTTCCCAAACAATAACAGCAGACAAATTACTCATATATCGCTTATTGTAGTTTTGAATCACCTATCCAGACTATTACTGACACCCAGAATCCTCAGTTTAGTAATCCAAACAAGATTAAAGCTAGACTCTAAATTTAGATGATTACATTAATGTTTTCTATTAATTTCTATTTTACCTTTTTAAAATGGTAAAAACATAGAATCAAGTTTTCCTGTACTCATCTAAGACTACATAATCTTTCCCACTTTACAGAGAAGAATAAGAAAGGAATCCTGTGGTGTTAACTACACTTATTGTGGTGATCATTTCACAATGTATACAAATATCGAATCATTATGTTGTACATCTGAAACTAATATACTGTTATATGTCACTTATACCTCAACTAAAAAAAGGAATCCTGATATCTTGTACAACTGTTAGTGACTAAAGAAAATGAAATTCAAATTTGATTCCTACTCTAACACATCAAAAAGTGAGATGGAGTGAAGTGGAAGGGAGGTCATAATTCTGTGGAAAATAAACTCTTAGCCATACTTTTACGCAAGAGGACGAAAGACAGGCTATTATCACCACATGGCCAAAGAATTCCATGCAGGGACAGGTGCAACAGAAGATCCAGTAAGGCAGTGCCTGAGCAGGAGGACAATGAACCACCCCTTTGTTAAAGCCACCACGAAGCAGGCTGTTAAGGTCTTCACCTGTCAGTTGCTGTGCCTAAACAAAGACTCCCTTAATACAACACACACAGTTGGAGACTTGACAAAACATCATGTGACTTTTTGTACTGTTATTCAACTTCTAGAAATCCTTCCAAAAAAAATGATTCAACTAAAGAAAAAGGTATAGGCATGCATTTGTTCATCACAGCATTATTTATAATCACGCAAAATTGTAAACCTATATGTCCTAGAATAATGGAATGACTAAGGACATCATGGGCAGTTCACTGAGGGAATTTTATTCTGTCTTAAAAATTCACTGTTAGAACTAACCAGGTATTTAATGATTGTAAAGAATTATTTTTAGAGTTTTTTCTTTAAGTTTTAATAATGGCATTGTAATAATTGTTTTTAAAACTTTCCTATAATTTAAAGATATGTACTTAAGTATTTACAAGTGAAAGAAAATGATATCTGGAATTTGCTTCAAAATACTCCAAGGATACAGATGAAACAAGATGGCCATGGATTGATAGTTGTTGATGCTGAGAGATGAGTACATTACTTTTCATTGTGTTTGAAAATTTCCTTAATATTAAAAAAAGGAGTTCTTTTTATTTGACCTTATAACATAGAAAGTACACACGATAAATGAAAAGTCTTATAAAAAAGTATTGTACAATAAGTTTAAAGCTGTTAAACATGATATGGAAAAGGCTGAAAACAAATTTACAAAAATATGGATATATGAGGGTAGCAGAAGAGCGTTTTTACCCCTTTTATTTTCCAAATTTTTAATAATAAACTTGTGTGACTTTTCATAATAAAAAAACTTCTGTGCAATTAAAAATGTCATGACATCCCAAGTGTGTCTAGAATCCAGTGGGCCACTAGCACCACAGCTACTTCACTGAGGCCCAAGGACACTATTTCAATGAAAGAAAACTTGTGTCCGAGGACAGCAAGCTATGATTTGAAACTTGTCAGTTGACATAGCAACAGATGAAATCTGAAACTGAGCAACTACAGGAAGAATTAAATAAAAATCTTTGATAGTCATCGAATTTCTGTAAAAGTCTCATTCTGAACTCCAGAAAAAATCAAGAGACTGGAGCTCTTAAAACTCAGAGAAATTTCAACTGCTGCTCTTGTTCTAGATATAAAGGTAGACATGACTTAGCATTCAAAGTCAAAACAATGTCACACCATATGGCATCTCATTGCAAGTTAAGATTATCCAGCATGAAATACTTCCCAACGCTGGTTTCACAGTTGATGGATGTTGTGTAGATGCAGAATCCAAAGAGGAGAAAAGTGGTCAGGGTTCTCACCCAGAAAGCGGTACGCTGCTCAGTGGATTCCCTTCCCATTTGGTATATGAATATCAAACAGCAACGAGACCCAATCCAAGCAAAAAAAAATGATTTCCTTTAGCACAACTCCTATTGTGCTATCTTGAAAAACATGGAAGCCTTCACCCAAAAGTACTCCAAGACTTCATAATTATCAGCAGTTGACAACAACCTGAATTTCTCCTACTAGTCATTTTTGGAATTGCCAAATCTATTATCATCCACCAGTTGCTTCTTCATGCAATATCTCTACTTGCAGAACTATTCTAATTTTTGTCCCATAGGAGCTCCTGACCACAGTACTTAATAAGCTGTATTTTACAACCCAGTTCCCCTTTAAACTAAATGAAGATGTGTTACAGGTTTCGACCAACATCTTTTTGTATCATGATTTTTCAATTCAGAAGGTTATAAAAGGACTTCAGTTTTCTCTGTTAGAACATTTCTAGTCCCAGGCACTAATTGTTCCGTGGTGTAATCTCCCAGAAGCCAAGAGAATATCTTCTTTATTAGAAAATCAGTGTGAAAACATGCAATGCCTTTCATCCTTTAGGAGGTACATGGAAAAGAAGCTTTAGAAAAGCAAACTGCATTAATAACCAATGAGAGGGTTTTAAACAAACAAAACCCAAAATTATTACCAGAAAACCTGATACCAGCCCTGATATCAGTTTCCCTACATTAAACCCAGCATATATGGGGTTAAAACCAAAGCACTCATGCCCTGCTTACTCTCTGGCTTCCTGGCTCCAGAATTCATTATGTGCCATGGAGACAAATGGCCAAGGACAGCCACCTGGATTTGTTATCTCCTCCTCCTCCTCTCTGCAAGTAGTCTCAAGGCCAAACACAGGCTGGTGGAAAATCTCCAACCAGCAAGGCCATGTGCTCCCCCTCCCCTACCTAAAACCCTGAATAAAAACCCTTCCTTTTAGCTTTTTGGGGAGTTTGAGATTTCAGCGTTAGCTGCCCTCTCTCCTTGCTCAGCACTGTCCAATAATAAAATTCTTACTTTCTTCCACTACACCCGGCATCAGAGATTGGCTTTCTGCACAACAGGTGAGAGAACTCACTTCAGGTTCAATATCAAACCTGCAAGTTTAAAATACAAATTACTTACTGATTTTGAGATGTCTCCATGAGTTCATAATTTCTTTCTTTCTTTCTTTCTCTCTCTCTCTCTCTCTCTTTCTCTTTCTGGTGAGGAAGATTGTCGCTGAGCTAATATCTGTGCCAATCTTCCTCTATTTTTTGTACATGGGATGCCACCACAGCATGGCTTGATGAGTGCTGTATAGGTCTGCACCCAGGATCCAAACCTGTGAACCCCGGGCCACCGAAGCAGAGTGTGCAAACTTAACCACTATGCCACCAGCCAGCCCCTGAGTTCATACCTTCTTTTCCCAAGTACCCACTAGGTCGACGGATCACAGAGCTGAGACTTGCATGTTTACAAAAGAACATGGAGTCAGAAGACTATGTATTAGCCTTGCAGTTGCTAAAGATGTTGGCTAAGGATGAATGATTACATTTCAGGAATGTTTCAAAGTTTTTAAGTCTTCTTCTGTGAAGTAGCTTGGCAGCACAGCAAATAAAATACACGAGTTCCTGGCCCAGTTTCAGAGCCCTGACACAGAGGACAAAGAAGAAAATGCCTCTGTAGCTTCAGAAGACAGACTTCTTTCACCTCTAGAAGTCCTTGATGGAAATGAAGGAGTTAAGACCAAATACGAAGCAATCTTAGTTTAAAGAACGAAGAGAATACCTCACAAACTTCATCAACAGTCTGGTGAGACAAGATCTTCTGTCTCCAGAAAGACAGCCTCTGTATGAGATGGTATACTTCAGTGCTGCTCACACCCTGCTCCACGAATCGCCCTACATGCTCCTGTCAACAATCCTTACTATTAGCTGAAAAATGAAGCTCTGCAAAATGAGGGAAGCTATATTTCAAAACCTGCCCCCAGTACCTGCACAGCACATAGACTGCACCTAGAGCACAGCAGGCTAATCAACTTCGTGGATTGGTCAGAGGCCTTAGCAATATTTACACCTGCTAAAGAAATGGATGTAAATTCCACACTCTCCGCGGGGGGTGGGGGGAGCATGAAATCATGCATTCTTGGTTTATTAGAGCTGTTTCTGAATTAGAATTTTTAAGATTTATAAAACCTGCCAAATAGAAGAATGATCATGTAGTAAGGCTAACATGAGGTGACAGCTAGAAGGCAAATTTAATTTTTAAAAAAGGAAACCAGTCATATCCACATACTAGTACAGGAGTCTGTTTTGGTCAGAAGATGTATGTGTAAT